GGAGTTTATAGCCATGCAGAGCCTGAGGTGTGATGTACCTAGAGATCAACATTTATCATAAAGGGGAAAGTTGTAAGCTGTAAGGAGTAGGTCTTTGTGTTCTGGGTAATAGGGATAAAAAGTCAAAACATTGAAGTCAGACACTGCTGAGTAGTTGATATCTGGGGATTTGGATCCTGTTCAGAGTAGCCTTGGGTGACAAAAGGGATAGAAAGTCTTTCCACTTTGTGACTGGTATCAGTCCAGCTTGGAAGACGACACCTATGCAATATTCATTCTATCATTCACTGCTCTGGTTCAACCTCCTGTTTTCTGGCTTACGCAGCAAATCTGCCAAACACTTCCCAGGCCAGCAGGTAGGAAGTAGTGATTGTTGTCAGTCTGTAAGATTGGTTGCTTTTAGAGCTTTTTTTTTTTTTTTTTTTTTTTTGCTTTTTTTATTTCCCAGAGAGAAAATATGAGTTAATAAAACTTGTCCTTGCAGCTAGCTAAGTACAGTGAGAGTCATGACCATGCCGTAATCTCTGATGAGCTTTATTGCAATCTGGTGAAGCATTTGAGTGCTTGTCTCCAAGTTTGTTTGATTTATTCATACTCTGGAGAAATGTCTATTGAAATGAGCTACTCTCTGAATCAGGGCCTTGGGGAATAACCATGAGGTAAATCAGGGAGCAGGTGCTGTGCTGTACACACACGGTTCTTGTTGCAAAACATGGCAGGAAGAAATTTCGCTTCTCTAGAACATGTGAGAGCCCAGGTAGACATCAGGAAAATGTTAAAGTAGAAATTGTTTTGGAGAAGTGACATAAAGCAGTTCTGAAAGGCTGGTGAGTCTAGGAGCAAGTGCTCAGCCTTGCCAGCAGTCTCTGCCAAAGAGGTGAGTTGTGGGACAGGCATGAGAACTCGTGTATTTGCATCCCTGGAGAGGTCTGCTTGCTGAGGTCTCAGTAAACATGCCTGGTAGACACACAGAACATGCACAGGTTCACAGAAAACAGCTGCCCAGGCTGTACATATTCTCTACAGTTTCCTTTCTGTTTTGTAAATACCAGAAACATCTGTTTGGTGGTCTGTGGGGGGCACCATGTCCTTGGTCAGATGCGTGCTGTATGACTGGGTTGGTGTCTGTTACTCCCTAAAGAAGGAAGATGATGTCTGGCTCATTAGTAAAGGTTGGGGCAAACATAGCTCTCTTTTCACAAGGCAAAAGCCTTGGGCATTTGTTATCCCTGCACTAATCTGGCCTGCTGCTTTTGTGTGTTCTGCTCTTTGGCTGCAATGATCCCTCGAGAAGTGCTTAGCAGTGAAACCTCATAAAAACCTGCACAGAGCAGGCGTTAATTTTCAGAGGTTTTGACCCAGTCTTGCTGGCATTTGGGCCAGAGAGTGACAAATGTTTCCTCAAGCCAGGTTTTTGCTGTTTCTGAAACACATTGAGCTAGATGAGGAAGAAAATATTATTTCTGAAAAACTGGGGAGGCAGCTGGAGGAAGTATGCAGCCTCTTCACTTTGTATTTGGAGTAATTTTCTGGCTCAAAATGTAAGAGTATATTTTAGTCTTAGCAGGAAGGAAAGAATAAGTCAAAGAATAAGACAGGGGCTTTGACCAAATCATGTAAGAAATGCTTGGTGACTGCAGGAACCAGTATCAGCATTGGTTTGTGTACAAAAATGGAGTTGTGTATAATTATATAATAACTGGCAGGAAAAATCTTAACTCTTTTGCTTTCTTTCTGCAGAGTGGTCTTAAAATCTCTTGATAGCTTTCACCTGAAAATTAGCGAGTGCCTACAAATTGCCAGAAATGCCTATCCATTCATGTTTAGCTGTCTGCCTTTGGTTCAGAGCACCTATATACTTTAGAGAACGTAGGTTCTGTAGAAATAGTGAAAACTCCAGACTTGGAAATTCTTCATCATATTTCTCTGAATGGCACAGTGAAGCTCAAGTTAGTGGATAGGACCTCTCTTTGCTAGCTCAGTGTCGGTAGGATGAGGCATGAGTATTCTTCGTGTTCATATCTGTTGTACTGCTCTGAGAAACTTACTTTCTTGGAATACTGTGACCAAGAGTTGCTGCCTGTGAAACATCAGCGTAAGGTGAATTATACCATAATGTTTGACCTGCTTATGTATGGTTCAGTTAAGCCAGATTTCTACAGAGCTGAATATTAAGGATCTTCAAATAAGACTTCCAGATTCAAAAAGGAGCCAGTGGATGACAGGATGAAGAGTGGGATACGCTTATGGTATTGCTCATGCAAATTCAGCTGTGGCATACGCACAAGACTAATTCCAACTCTTCAGTTTCCAAATTATTTTTGGTTTGGGTCAACATTAAGGCTATCTAAATGTTACTGTTTCTGTTGAGCATCATGTCATAGCTATTATAGTATGTGATTTTCAGGCTTGTTCATACTTGATGTGCTACTTTTTGCTAATCATGTGCATCAACAGTTCTTCTACACGTTAACATATTTTGAGGCTGTGTAGGAGTTATGTGCCAGAGGGAGTAAATCTAGCTATGCATATAAGGTGAATTACAAATGCAGATTATACATGTGAGAATCAGGGACATTCCATACCAAAATACTTCACTTGAGTTAAGTGACCTATTTGAAGAACTCCATTAGCTTGGTAGTACCAGGCGTTTATCCATTGTATATATCAGCTCATGGAGGGCTGAATTAAGACATACTTATCCAACTGATATATGTACTTTCTCTCAAAAAAAAAAATCCATTCCAGCTGTCTGATACTCACCCAGTCTTAAGTCGGGTTTCAGACTCTTTTCTTTGCAGGCTTGTATCCAAAACAGAACTGTTACCTTTGGGTAACCTACTGGGCACCTTTCCTATGAATTGAAAGAGGAGTGGTGTTAGTGGACAGCAGTCCATGCCATCTTCAAGCACAAAAGTTGCTTAACACTCATTTTCTGGTTTGCGCTTAGAAATTGAACATGTTTATGTTTAGGTGTGTGACTGGGAAAGCATTCAGGTGTCTGTGAGACTCAGTGACTTTGGATAGCTATTCTGGTAAATTTTCACAGATTGGCCGGTATGGTAAAATCTTGAAGTCCCCATTAAAGTCATTGACCAAAAGGTCTCTTTGAGTGTCAGGAATTAGACTGAACCTCAAATATCAAGGCCATGGTCTTGTGGCTTTTGCAAACTGCAAGTAAAATTCAGGTTCATTACCACCCGAGGAGCTAGAGTGTACCTAAGTCTATTAGAAGCAGTGAGACGTATCCCACAGTCCTGAGGGAATTGGCTGGTGTAGTTGTAAGCCACTCTCTATGGTATTTGTAAAGTCACTGTAGTCATGAATTCACCATTGTATTGATGAAGTCCCAGGTGATGGGCAGAAGGGAAACATGGTATCCATCTTTTAAAAGGGTAGAAAGGAAAACCCTGGCAACCAGGGACCTCCCAGCCTCACCACCTGCCTGGGAATATTATGGAGCAGATCCTCTTAGGAGCTGTGCTCTGGCACATGGAGAACAGGGAGATGATTCAAGACAGCCAGCACAGCTTCTCCAAGGGCAAGTCCTGCCTGACCAACCCAGTGGCCTTGAATGATGGAGTGATCATGTTAGTGAACAAGGCAAGGGCTACAAATGTCATTTATCTGAACTTCTGTAAAGCCTTAGACAGAGTTCCTCATAACATGCCTGTCTCGTTATTGCAGAGCGAGGGGTTTTATGCATGGCCTGTTAGATGGATAAGAAAGTGGTTGGATGGTCACATCCAGAAGGTAGTGCTCAATGGTGCAGTGTTCTGATAGACATCATTGTCAAGTGGTGTCCCTCAGGGGTTCATACAGGGATCAGTACTATTTAATGTCTTCTTTAATGACATGGATGAAGGGATCAGATGCACCTTCAGGAAATCTGCAGGTGACACCCAGCTGAAGGATGAGATGGCATCCAGAGCGACCTGGACAAGCTAGAAAAGTGGGTACATGGGAATCTCAAGAGGTTTAACAAGACCAAGTTCAGGATGCTGCACCAGGGTCAGAGCAACCCTTGGTATCAGCACAGGCTGGGGATGAGCAGATGGAGAGCAGCCCTGGAGAGAAGGACTTGGGGTGCTGGTGGCTGAGAGACTGGGCATGACCCAGCCATGGGCACTCCCAGCCCAGAAAGCCAAACGTGTCCTGGGCTGCCTCCAAAGCAGCGTGGGCAGCAGGGGAGGGAGGGGATTCTGCCCCTCTGCTCTGCTCTGCTGAGAGCCCACCTGGAACCCTGCACTCATCTCTGGGGTCCCAGCCCAGGAAGGACATGGAGCTGTTGGAGTGAGTCCAGAACAGGAACACCAGGATGATTAGGTGGATGGAACACATTTCCTATGAAGACAGGTTGAGGGAATTGGTTTTTTTGAGCCTGGAAAAGAGAAGGCGTAAAGGTGACCTAATTGTGGCCTTCCAGTCCCTGAAGGCAGACTGTCTACAAGTAGTTTTTGCAAGTGCATATGAAGAAAGGACAAGTGGCAATGACTTCAAATTGAAAGAGAATAGGTTTAGAGTATATGTTAGGAAGAAATTCTTTACTGTGAGAGTGGTGAGCACTGGAACAGGTTGCCCATAGAAGCTGTAGATGCCCATTCCTGGAAGTGTTCAAGGATAGGCTGGATGGGGCTCTAAGCAACCTGGCCTAGTGAAAGGTGTTTCCACCCATGGAAGGAGTTGCCAGGGGTGGAACTAGATGGTCTCTAAGCTCCGTTCCATGGCTGTTTCATGATTCTGTGTTCTTAAAAAGGCACAAACCAGAAATCCCAAAGAATTGCTTGAGCAAATGATTGTTACCTAAAACACACATTCAGTATTTTTTTCTTAGGTGGAATTTCTGCTGAAGATTCTCACATTATCGTTAGGAGATACAGGACTTTCTTGATCAGAGACTGCTTGCTTGCTGATATTAGCTGAGTGTTTTTACTCAGCATATTAATGTATATGTAAGAGGAGTCAAACAATAATTCCATCTCATTTCTCTCTCTTTGCAGGCTCTCTACAATTCAATCAAGAATGAGAAGTTGGAATGGGCAGTGTAAGTATACTTCTGTTGTAGAAATTAGAAGTTTAACAGTAGTACCTGTGTAGTAATCTGTTTATATGTCCTATGTCACCATCTGTGTGGGCTCTGAAACCTGTAGAAGATAGTCAGCGTACATAATGAGTTTGCTTTTTTGCTAATGAATGACCTGGCAATACAGCTCATCTGTTTCTCTAGCAAGGGGAGTTGTTAATGATAGGAACCAACTGCATTTGTAAGGAAAGAGGACATTTCATTTAGTAGGAAACTGCAGCCTGAAAAGAGAGAAATTAAATCCTCTGTTGTTCTGTGGTTGCATAAATAAAACAGAAGTTGACGTCTCCCTTTATCTTTCTGTTCATTGTGTCAGAACTGCTGAATAGAAACACACTTCTTGGATTGAATTTCCTGCTGTTGGTTTATTGTCTTGGTTTGTCTCCTGATTAAGTATGGATAACTTGACAACAGCCTAATGTGAAAGATGATAAATGGACAAAGTCTGATATCACTCCCTCCAAACTTTAGTTGCTTTTGACAGGCTAACACTTGTTAACTAGGTAAATGCTGCAGACAAGAAAAAACTTCAGTTTCTGATTGTGTTAAACTGACATTTCTCCATGCTTAGGTTTCATGTGGTCTGGTTATGCTGGGAAAGGGCAGAAGTGTCTACTTTTGATTTTGCCACTTGCAGAGCAGTGGATTTTGGTATAAAATAGGAAAATGACGTCTTATATATATATTTCAGCTATACAGGGGTATTTCCCTCAGCTATACAGGGGTATTTCCCTCCATGTATACCTGAAACCTCACCTTCTTGGGAACAATGTCTGGAATGCATGCTCCTACACCTCTTGTGCTAGAACTTCTAGCAACTGCCATAGGTCTTGCAGGCCCAGTGGCTTTTGATCTTCATTGTTTTAAGTTCATGATCTGCAAACAAATTTCTTGTTAGGGTGTGCAGCCCCACAAAGGCGGCTGGTTCCAAGTGGGATTGCTGTCCCACTTAGAAATGTGTTAGGTGGTGTCAGAGTACTGAAGAATATATGCTTTTAAGGGGACTCAGCAAGAAGTGCCATCTCTGATGAGCATTAAAAGTCTTGGTGGGAGACATTTTCACAGACTGTGTCTTGGACCTGGAACACGCTGCATGAATCTTACATGTCACACCAAAGCTGTTTGCCAGACACTGTCACAGGTACTTTAGAACCAGCAGAATCCATTATGTGACTTTCTCAATGTCAGAATTTTCCTCCAGCTCTTGCCAAGGAACTATACCGTGTCTAATACACTTGGGCAGCCTCCAGGTGGCAACTGGCTCTGCTCCTGTGAACCTCAGTCAAGGTGATTTATGAGATCTTGCTGCTGTATAGGTGGTAACTGCTTTGGCATTTACATAGTCTAGTCCGAGTCCTTTGTTTGGGGGAAAATTCCAAGCAGGCTGGAAGGGTGATAATTCAGACTCTTTCTTAAATAAGGCTTTGGGTGGATATTATATATATATATATATATATATATATCTATATCTATATATATACACATACAGGAGAAAGCTCAAAGATGCCAATTGTTGACTCCAGTCTGAGACTGACACGTAGTTAAGACTGATGTTACAATTCATTTCCATGATGAAAAACAAAGCTCATTCTGGACATAGTCAGTACCTTTAGAGCTGAGAGTACTGGCTGGAAGAGGAAGTGTGAAGATGTTTCTCTTCGTTTTTATAGAGATGTGTGGTTGGTGTAAAGTAATAACCCCAAGAAGCCCTGGGGCTGCCTGCGTTTGAGGGAGGAGGCACATATATCTCTTGCTCTACTGCAGAGAAAGCTGAATGGGAAGGAAACATGGTCAGTTTTGTTCTGGTGGGACCAAAAAAAATCCTGTCTCCCCTCCAAAGATTATCTCTTTGCTTCCCTGATGCACTTGTCAGGGTAAGAAAAGGAAGGTAAGGCAAAGGTGAAGATAGGACTCCAAACCCCAGTATAAGCTCTCCTGCAGTGCTGGCATTTTGAAGGAATGCCTTTCCTACTGACAGAAATCCTTTGAGGGTCTAAGACGCTCATTAGCTAAGCGAAGGTTTAAGAGCTGCTCTGGAAGTACATTATTTAGTGGATTAGTGGCAATGAGTAAGTCCATAGGCAGGAAAGGGTAATAGTGTAACATAAGATGGGGAAGGACAGCTATCCAATCCTTATCGTACTAGTTGTGAGCTAGGTGTTTGCAGTTTGCAGTACGTTTCCAGTAGAATTATATGTCTGATCCAAAGCCCACACAAAGAAAAGGCTAGTATTGACTTCAACTTTGTAATCATGGAAGTGACACCTTAATCAGCAGATGTTCTCCAGAGACTTTTAGTAGGAGTGTTCCTTTATCCTTTTTGAACAGGAAAGCATGAGCACAGCTCTGAAGAGAGAATTGCATTACAGTTCTTCTTCTGCAGTAGTGCCTGGTTCAAGTTCTCCACAAAGTTAAAAGTGAATCACATACCATAATCTGTAAAATAAAGAGATCTGACCTGGAATTTACACTGAACTGGTGAATGTGGGATCCTGAAACTACACTTCTGCTCCACACTGCAAACGCCGAAGGTGTGAACTGTTCTTCATGTCTGTTGTGGATGGCCTTAAATTTGAAACAAGGGAAATTTGACATCAACCTTTGAAACGTTTTCTATTAATTTAAACTAAGGCACAGGTTTGCCTGGATAAAGTACAGAAGTGCTTTCATTAGAGGTTTTTGTGAACTGGTTCTTCTGTCTGGAATGGGTTAGGAAGAGGAGATCCAGCCATAGGGACAAAGAGATAGATTGCCTGGCCTCCTAACATCCCTTCATTGTCTATGATACTACATTGTCAGCTTTAAGTCGAAAATGAGAAATCCATTTGATTACAAAGGTGCCAGAGCTAAATATGTTTTATTTGCATTATGTCTGCATGGAAATGTCACGGTGGTCATTATTGTTTTCCTTTGTTTGTAATACTGTGTCTGTTTACTGTTGAAAGTAATAGGAATAAAAAAATCACCATCTTGAAATAGGTGATCTAGAATTAATATATGAACTCCCAAAGCACTGCTTACAACATTGCTAAAGCCAAATGGCTGCATTTGAGTGCAAAATCCTCCTCTCAGCAGAACAGTGTAGTTTTCAGGAGAATCACTTGGTTTTTAACTAGCCAGTGATATACTTCTCTAACCAGAGAAGTTTACAGGGACATGGTGTATTCTTTTTTTGTTTATCTGGACTACACTGATAAATTATCTCCTTTCAGCCAAAACAAAACAGGTAATTCAGATAGTGATGGTGAGAAAGAGATGCTGCCAAATCAAACTGTGATGCTGAGATCAGGGTAGTTATAAAGACATCTGTGCTGAAGTTCACCTTTTTCTAGATCAAACTGAGAAATCTCCCCCTATTATAATTAACTTTTGTCTCCCAAGTTCTAGGATGTTTCATGTTTGCAACTTCTTGATTGGTTTGCGGGCGGGGTCATGTATTCAACCTGGTTCCCTTTCTTCCTCCTCACACTGGGAAAGATGCCAAAACTTCTCTCAAGCCAGTTTCCTAATACAGGTGCTGTTAGTTTCATGGATGCATGTTACAAACCTGAATTTTTTTTTCAGTTCAGCAATATTTAAATAGATGAACTCAGCCTTCTTCTGTGTCATATAAGGTTGCTATTTGAACAAATGCAGAGATGGAGCAGTTTTAAAAATGAAGGGCTTGACCACATTGTTCCAGATCAGTGATTTCAGAATTTTCTGAGGCAGAGCCTCAAATCAGACCATAGATTGCACAGAAATAATTTTGTTACTGAGAGAATCAGATGATGCTTTTCTCCCAGAAGACAGAAATGGGACTTTCTTGCATAGGATCATCTTGGGAGAGGCAGAAAATGCTTTTCTTCACCAAAATGACAACATCTGAATTTTTCTTTTTTTCACATCTATGTGTTTAAGAATAAGGGGCAAACTTTTTCTAGTTGTCAGTTATCTGTATTTGGGAAGGAAGACATTGCTGTTTCAATGCTGTGACTGCAAGTGATAGCACAAGCTTGTCCTGGGTTTGGTGTGCTGGTTTTCATGGGCAGCCAGAGGGCAGGGAATGATTTTCCTCTGCTGATCAGGGTCAGAAAATCTCATAAGACTTCTGCAAGCCTAATTGAACCTTCATGATGATGCTTTGTCTACTGAAAAGTGTTTTGGACCCATTGTGAATTTTTTCCCCCTAAAGGCGTAAGTATTATGTTACTTCTTGTATGAAATGGAAAAGAGGGGCAGTGGTCCTGCCCTTCAAAAAGACCTGAGCTAATGCCTGTGTGACACCATGTCCACGACTCTGAACATACCTGCACAGAGGTCGCCACTGACTCTTACCCACATCACTGGAGGCCTTCACACTGGGGATGTTGCAGCGCATGGATGATCTGTGAGAGCCATCTGAGGATGGGCAGGTAGTCACACTCCCCACAGTTTAGGGTTTCAAACAAAGATCAGTTTTCAGGTTTCTGTATCCAGAGGCTCCCCTGAATTTTTTGCAGTTCTTTCTTGCAAAAATACCCTAAAGGCTTGTTAGAAGTAAGCTCAGATTGTTAAATCCCTGATAAACAGTATTTGTGACCTATCTATTCAGCTAGCTTTGGAAGATACCTGCAGGAAAGCTAATACCTGAACTTTTTTTGCTACTTTGACATTCCTCCAAATCATCTTGCTTTCTTCTTATGTTTGACCACTGAAGTAACATGGAGTATTTGAGCAAATGAGTCTCAGATCCCCTGGTTTTCATCCATTTCTTCCTTGTAATGAGTCCTTCCTGCCTCTTTGTCTCCATTGCCTCTTGCAGATTGATTTGTGCATCTTTCCGTCATGCATCTTGTCAGAGCACTCAGCTCTCAGAAATGTGTGAAGCTTCTGAGTTTCAAAGAAGTCCCATTTTCATAATAGAACAAAAGACCAGTTAAAGGTTTGTTCACTGCTGACGGCAGTTGTAGCAGCAGATGCTATTTTGTCCTTTCTACCATGTCCAGAGGAATTCCTGTTTTAACAGCTGCCCTAGAAGTGCTCAGTTTAAGAGCACTGCCCCCAGCTCTTACTGGTGTTCAGGATCCCCCCCAGGGTTGCTCATCACACCACTGTTGGCTGCTTGGTTAAGGGCACTACTATATTCCCACAGGACAATTGATCAGTATACAATAGTTCATTCCAATTGCTCCAAAGGAGATAGCTTATTCCAAGAAAGTGTTAAGCCTTTACTGCAGTTGGTCTCTGCTGACAAGGAGAAATCTGCTGTGTCCTTGGCTGAAATCCCAGAATTCACAAGGCATTTCTGTGTGACAAATCAGCCTGTGTGCTTATGCCCTTTGAGAGATTTTAGTCTGGATTAAGTGCCTCAGACTCCTGTTGAGAGAATTTGCTTCTGGAATGGACATGTATCTAAGAAACACATAACACACAGTGGTTCAGACTTAGCAGCAACTAGCAAGTAGAGGCATGTAGGGTGGGGACAAACAAAATTGTCAGAAATGCCTACACCTTTTCAACTTGGAGAGGGCTTCAACTAAAGCATACTTGAATGATTCCTTATTGCTTTGACTAATAAAAAAAATTTGTAGAACTTTCTGTGCTAGAGTGGGAAAGCAAACATCAGTAGACTAAAGATGCAAAGACTGCTCTTCCTTGCAGGAATCAGGTCTTGAAGTAAAAGTTTTGTTCCTCTTAATTAGGAGACCTTGCAAGACAACGTCATGAAGGTATGGTGCACCTCCTGACTATATTTCTATAATTTATATGAGATGACCAAAGTTGAATGCTTGGGAACATTCCCTGCTGCTACAGAGCTCACTAATACAGCCCCCATGTTTCCAGATTTGCTTTCCTTGTTGTCAAACCAGTCTCTTAGCCTTTTACCTCCTTAGACTAAGTTATTCTCCCAAACACCATTTCATAGAGTCACAGAATAATTTAGATTGGCATCATCTAGTTTGGAAAAGACTTCCAAGATCTTCAAGTGGAATCTCTGACTGAACATCACCCTTTCAACTAGGCCATGGCACCAAGTACCGTATCTATTTGTTTCTGGAACACTTGCAGGGATGGTGACTCTACCATCTCCTTGGGAAGTTTGTTCCAATGCTTAACCACCCTTCAGTGATAAAATTTCTCCTGATGCTCAACCTGAACCTCCCCAAGCACAGCTTGAGGCTATGTCCTCTCATCATTCACTGATTGCCTGGGGAAAAAAGGCCAACCCCCACCTGGTTACACCCTCCTTTCAGGCAGTTGTAGAGGGTGATAATCAGCCTCCTTTGCAGCAGAACTGAGGATAAGATAGATTTGTTGCTGTAGCCTGTAGTTCTTGGAGGACATTTTTTTGAATGATCATTCCCATCAGCAGCCATGGTAGCAGTGTATTCCGAAAGGGAGCTTCCAGATTGATATGTGCCTTGCTAATCATCACTTAATACATGCCTTTGAACATACAGATGTGTTTGGAAGATCTGCTTGAGCTTGCTCTGCCAGTCATCTGGGTCCAGTGGGATGCATCAAGTTGAGGTCCACCCCCAGTGGGTTAGCAATATTAGCCATCATTATGCTCAAATGATTTTTTTCTTTATTTTTAAATCAGATGCTGGTCTCAGGAGGTGTTGTTACCACAATTTTCCAATCACAGCCTTCATACTCCCTGACACGCCTTTCCTAGTCACCTGGAGGGAAATGTATGTGGATTTCAAAGGATGAAGGGCTGCTCTGTAATCTGGCCTGTTCTCTGAAAACTGTTGTCCTACTCTTGTGATGGACACGCTTTACTTTCTGGGTTACCAAGTCCTTTTTAGCCTTTGCCTGTGACAAGAAAAAAGGCATTTGTTAGTCAGGCAGTGCTTGTGACTTGCATTGTTGTCCCCAAGAGCTCTGTGGAATACATTGCCCTAATAAGTAACACTTTCAGCAGCATTTTATTTCCAAAGTAAAGATGACCTGTTTCACCTAGTGTGGTTTTTATTTTTAAATTACTAATTTTATGTTAGTCTGCAGAGGAAAATAAAGAAAAATAGGTACAGTTTGTGTTTCATATGCTAAGTTAAGGGGTAAGCCACAGTGATCTGTAGTATTCTAATTATTTTTGACTACATATGAGCTCATGAAGAAGTTGGGGATTTTTCAGCTGAACCCAGCAGGCAAATATTTCCCATTTTGGTACTCAAATACATGAATTAAAAGTAGGAAATGTTGGAGGACACAGAACACTCTTGCATTCTAATCTTTCAAAACAATAATGGAAACTTGGGCTTTCTGAAAATCTGTGTCCTGTGCTGGTGAAGTAGGTGAACTGAAGCTTTGCTATAATATGTCTATATTTTGATATATTTTTAGATTTCTCCCTAAATATGGCCCCCTGTAAAGAGAGAGGTATATTTTGACAAGGAGCATTCAAAAATTGCTAAAATGAAACTTTGCTGATCAGTCCATCCTTCATGCTTGATTTTCACTGCTTTTTAAGGGATGAAGAAGAGAAAAAAAAATCTCACTCGGATGGTGCAGATGAAAAGGATAATGGGAACCAGACAAAGGCTGTCAGTCGAATTGGCAATTCAAATAACCCATTCCTGGACATCCCTCATGACCCCAATGCTGCCGTGTATAAAACTGGATTTCTGGCTCGGAAAATCCATGCAGATATGGATGGAAAGAAAAGTGAGTAATTTTTCAATCCTAATGTGTTATTTTCTTGTTATGTCTTCACAATGCCACTTGCAAATGAGCCCATGTACTTTTCAAGGCTAATAGTGCTGCTTCATTAGAGGAAATAGCAGCAATAACAGGCAAGACAACAACTGAATTATCACACTCTCACTATTAGGCCAGAATTTACAATGCTCAGTCCGATTTGCAACAGCTCTAATGCATAAGAAGTAATGTGATACAGCAAAGCCATTTGGTGAATTGGGCTAAAAGGAAATTAATATAGTGGTTTACAGATAAAAATAATTTCAAGTGAATTACAGTAGATGTTCTGCAGTAATTTGATAATTCTCCTTTTCCTTATGTGACACTGGATTGTTCTGATCTCCCCTCCTCTCTGGATCTGTCTTTAAAGAAAGACTGTTCTTTACCTCTGTTTAGAAGATACTGTTCCCTTCCATACTTTCCCTGCCTTGGGTCACATATCCAGTGAAGGGTGGCAGCTTTTGGCACCAGCCAGCTTTTTATACGCCGTTCGTCCCTGCCCCTTTCTTGTACTAATCCTGCTCTGTCTCTTACTTACTTTAATTATCTTCTTCCCTTCTTATCCTACTGCTGTTTGTGATGCACTAATTATCAAGGGCCTGTGATGCATCTGAGTGTGTTTTGTTATTTGTATATCTTCGTTTCTTGTCTATAGATCTTGGAAAAAGCTGAGCTTAGTCAGAGCATTTGTGTTTTCCCCGGTAACTGTTGATGGTTGCCTACTCATGATTCACATTGGTGGGCTAAGTCCCGAAGACAAAGTCTGCCTTCATGATGGGTTTCCAGTGACAGCCAGTCTCTCCTAGGCTAAGTTCTTTGGTATTCGCATGATTTGCTAATCTATTTTAGGAGGTACAATTGGAGGTCATATTTTCAAGATGGAAGCTAACAGCTGGACAACTGGATTGAGACAGAGGTGTCAAAATCAGGCTGACCTAATTCTTTATGATGACTGAATACTCCAAATAGGCTTGTCTTTATTAAACATCCTCTTATTCAGCCTTAATAAGTAATTGTATCTAGTTGCCTATATTAAATTATTTCTTTAATTATAAATACCAGAATTGCTCATTATTTAGCACACTGGACACTGGCATTCTGGAGATAACTCTTTTATGAGTAATGTAATTAGGGCCTTGTTTTCAGAAGTTCCTGTACAATTTAAAGATCTGCGGTTCTCAAAAAAGTTGCATTCTGGCTTTCCAGGTGCTAACAAAACTTTGTTTGTTTGTTAGTTAGACCTTTTCATATTTCATTTTCTAATGGAGTCCTTGCAGAAAAGAGATTAGCTTGTGTGGGATTTCTAATGAAGTGATGTGCTAGAATGCTCATCTGTATTTTCTCAGGAACCTAGTTTCAAGGGCTAAAGCACTTAGACACTTAGAGGAGAGGGATGTAACAGTGGCCAATGACTGGAAACTGAACTGAACAAATGCCAATTAGAAGTAAGGCCTGTTTTGCAAGATGAGAATGATTAACCTGGGACAAGGGACTTGTAACCTCTTCATCTTCACTTTCTGTCTTCAGATCAGAATAGGATGCCTTTCTGAGTGTCATTCTTTAGTTGTATGTGTATTAATTTCGGTATAGTGTCAGTGATGCACTGTATGAATACTGGTCAAACAGTGTGTGCTTGTTGGGGAGTGAGCTTAGATGTAGGCTTCTGGTCTCTGGTGTTGTGACTGTACAGCCTCTGCCTAATTCTCTCCCTCTGTCGCACCTGAATTTCAGACTGGATCCTTCAGCCTTTGTGTTGAATTTACTTCCCCCTGCCCCACCACTGTTGTCTCTAGGAATTTATGGGCTAGATATGTTGTCCCTGTTCTTCAACCTCTAACTGACTTTGGCTTTCTTGTGGGGTTGGGTGTTTTATATATGATTTTGGTTGGCACCCTTCTCCTTTCTCAATGTCACCTTGGGCATGCAGCAGCAGTAAAGGGGAAGGATGCTCTGGGGAGACACTGCTTTCTGTGTAGTATCCCCCTGGTTCTAAGCAGTTCCTGCCAGCCTGCTGTGGCATGTAGAAAGACTGCTTCTTTCTGAAAACTGCTGTGATGCAGAGCTCAGATGTAGTTGTGTAGGGGCGATGTCTGCCTGTCTTCAAGAGCATAAAGACTGGATCTCTGTGGCTCTCTGTGGCCTCCTTTCTGCATTGCTGCCGTTCCTTCCTGATCCAGTCCAGGGCTGTCATTAGGGTTGTTGTATTGCTTTCTGTCATAGCAGGTGCATGCAGGCACTGTGCTATGTTGTATTGTCCTTTGAGAAAGATAGTTTGAAGGAGGTTTAACACAGGGCTAATGTAGCTCTCCTGTAGCATATACAAAGTGTAAAAATGGATCTGATTTAAATGGGTTTTCATTTGTTTTCTTTCCAGCTCCCCGGGGAAAACGAGGCTGGAAAACCTTTTATGCTGTGCTGAAGGGAACAGTCCTGTACTTGCAGAAGGTAGGGGAAATCGCTGTCTTTTGAAAACTAATTAAAGAGGGATAAAGCAGCGTGCATCCTCTCCACTCTCTCAGCGACCTCCAGGCTCCTTTCCCTCCGATGCACAGCATGGCTGATCTCCCTACCCCCACCCTATTAACACACACATTCAGACATGAATCCTCTCATTGATACCCTTTTCCTTTTCACAATTTCAAGTTCAGTTCCCCTGCCGCATCCACATGTGCACCCTGTAAGTTCCAGCAGTATGCTACTGCTGTCTCACACGGCTGAAAAAACCAGCCAGCTTCACCAGGAAAGACAGTGTCACCTCTCTGTGTCATGCATGCATTCCTCTAGGCTGCTTTTAACTTTGCATTTCATATGTATGACTTCCCCTTCTGTAAAGTTGTCCTCCTTTCCCACCTTTACATAGTACATTTTTCTGCAGTGCCTGCAAGACCAGCTGCAAAACAATTGAACAACAGCTTGGCTTTGGTAGGAAGCTGCAGCTTCTGTTCCTTTGCGAAATTGAAGGATAAAAGGATACTTTTTTCCCCACAAAGCAAGAAAGGATGGGTTTCTAACAAAATGTGCTTCCTGACAAAAAAGTGTCTAAAAAAAAAGTCAGATGAAACCCTTTAAGCCTTTTGTTGCAAGCTTAAATATATTATAGTCATTTTTAACTACACTGTTAGAACATAAAATGTAACATATGAGTGAGAACTGTCAAAATCAAATACATGGCAGAAACTAAGTAGGTTGTTAAGGCTTTTTGCCCTCCAATGTAGATGAAATATTCATGGAATAGATGCAGCTTGTCCAGACTGCCCTATATTGCAGAAGTATGCTTCTTTGAAAGCTGTTTTACATTTTCACACAAAAACTGATAGTTTTGTAACTATCAGGAGTGCAAGTACATACTGCTATTTCCTCATCCCCTGCTGTGGCTTTCTGAAGTTGTTGCTTTCACTGGAGCCAGCCTGAATAGTCTCTTGAGAAGAAAGAGTGATTTGAATCAGATTATTATAGCATGAGGTTTACAAGGTGAATGCTCGGGATGCAGTACCTTTGTGAGGGGCTGGAATCCTGAAACAGACAAAAAAAAAATCTGTGGTCACAGTAGAAGATTTGGGCTGAAAGCTGGATGTGATACACTCAGAGCCAGTGCAAGAGACTAAAACCAAGTCCACTGAAGCCCAAGTCCTTTTGCTGGGAGCACATTCAGGTATTACTAAAATGCCTTCATGGCAAGCTTGTACTTACCCTTTTATGACCGAAGTGGATTCATCTGCTTCAGTTTCTGAAATAAGTAATCTTCAGTGTTTACCTGAAAAAAATGCATGGTTCTCTGAGAAATGAGAAGACTCCTTTTTTGTAATACAATATTTAATTCCTTATTTGATACTCAAGGGAAAGAACTGAGTATACTGTCTATTTTAGCACCTTAATTAAATATTTTTATGAGTATTGCTGACATATTAGTTTAAAATGCTTTCCGTGTAATAAAATGTAGAGATGTTGATGTAGCATGCAAATTTGCTACAGAATGCTGCCCTTCCCCCTGTTACCCTCCATGCTTTCAGGAGCAGGGAGTAATTTCACATATGACTGCATCTTTGCAGAATGAAATACATTGTTGGAATTCTTGTTCTTCTTTGTTTGTTAGTTGTGTGTTTTGCACTTCTCAGAGCACTTTAATTCAGTGGTTACAGGGCAGTACTCTGCAGAGCTGCATTTTCCCATTTGCATGGGAGCTATACATTGCGTTGAAGCCGTCTTACTGTAGCATACTACCAAGCAAGGCTTTTGCTTTTGTGCTGTGAAAGATTGACAGAAGGGTGTGATGGGAGGTAACTCATTCCAAGAGTGGCGGGGCAGCTGTGAGCCTCCCCACAATGCCCCTGGCCACTGCTCGGCCACATGCTGCAGCTGTGAAAAAGCCTGTGATTTCAGCTTTGGAGGGTCCGCCAGAGCTTTCCTTCAGCCCTCAAATAAACTTTACTCTCTTAGGGTTGTAGTATCATGAAAGGTGAAGGTGCCAGAGTTAAAAAACACACAGCTAGGCCAAGTAGTTATAGTAAAGGTTGCTGAGCTACTGTTTCCTTCTGTAGGGACTGAAATTATTCTAATTTTAGGAAGTACTGAAGCATTTTAGAACAGTTTGATTTCTTTGCAGAAGTGCATAGTTCTGGAAATAATCCTGGCAGTAGTCCTGGTCAAAAGATTGCCTTCTCTCAGTTCACCTGAGTTCTCTCCTGGTTATAGAGAGGGTGAAGCTGACATAGTGCAGTAGGCTGGGGTGCATTCACAAGCATGTCCTCTTTCTCTCATTCCCTATATACTGGTGGAGATGACATCTGTGGTGGTGGTTTCACTGCACTATTCAAGCAGGATGGAGAGAAATCTCACTGTACAGGTGCTGTATACACACAAACACATGTACAAACCTCTGCAGTATTGCTTTCTGTGTTCATCCGTAATTCAGCTGTTCCCTCAAGACACTATTGTAATATAAATATTAATATTTCATAGCAGCTGTGATTCCCCCAGTGGGCAGTGTGATCCCAATTCTGCTGTCTCTCTGTTTGCATTCCTGTTCTCTTTGTTTTGCAAAGGCCATGTATGAGAGTGTTTTGTAAATGGTGGTCACTTGAGATTTACTGAGGATTTTTCTGGACCACCATGTCTCCCTGCCCACCTTTTTTTTTCCCATTGGAATTATTCCAGTGCTAATTCCTGTGGTGTGTATTGTGTTGTTCTTAAATAAGTGATTTAGGAGAGATGGTTTCTAAATTAATGAGCACAGAGTGCACTGGAGGAGCTCAGTGGAAATGTGCACAATTAGCCAACTAAACGTGCCTGCGCAGTATTATATAAAATAAGAAGTTTGACGTGTTTAGGACATTGGCTGTGTCTCTGGGCATCCTCAGGCCGAGGTTTATTTCCTGCTCTCTGTTCATAGCAAGAGGAAATTGCAAAGTAGCAGCTTGACTGAATGTCTGTTCACTAGACTGACATGGGATGTGATGTGCATACACAAGAGAAGCTTATAAGGAGAGGACGTAAGGCTGACCTCGCTTCCTTGCTAGAAATTGCTTCTGGGCAAACAGTACACGACACAAACCTTCATGTTTTGTTTCGAGTCTTCTGTGAGGTTTGCAACATATTTGCTCTTTGATGTGGCACTTTATAAACTTGCAGGTTTCGGTAGTTTTATATAAATTTTCTCAAATTTCCTCTGTTAAAAATGAAAAAAAAAAAAAAATAGAGACAGGCCAGACTGATGTAAAGTGTTTGGTGGTGAGAACTTTTGAAAGAGAATCTTGAAGCCATCTTATGCCGCTGCATGGAGATATGCATGCATGGTGCAGTGACTGATAAGAAAAGACAAATGTCATTCTCTTGTTTACCAAAAAATGTGTTTAGAAATATGCTGACTCTGGTTCATCAAGATGTGGGAAAGTCATTCTCCAGGAGTTTTGAGAAAGATGAATTCAGCATGCCATTGCATTGTACACAGCGCTCCCATCGGCCTTCAGCTGACAGATAGATCACAGTTTCTTTCTGGCTTCATATATGTTTCTTATCACTGTCTAGGTCTAACTTTAGAGAGCTGTCTTCCATTTCAGCTCAACCTGAACACTGACACCAGCACATCATAGCACATGCTGTCCTTGACAGCTTAGGCAAAAATGGATGTTCCTACTCCCCTAGCATTCCCTACCAGTCAAAAAGAGTTGAAAGCCTTGGAGAAGGAATTTTGGCAGCACATTCATGTCCTTATAGCTTTCTCTGAGGCTGGCAAACTACGTGGAGACATTTCCGGTATGCTGATCAGTGCCTTTGGAGAAGCTGGCAGAGTCCCAGCTGTCACGGTAGATTGCAGGCAACTGATCTGGTGGGATTAACAAGGATTACCATGAATGCTTTCTGTTGGAAAGTAGCGCTTATCAGCCAGGGCTGCTTCTGGGCCTGCCCAAATGTGGACTTCTTCTGAAACAGAAGATTTAGTCTCCAGAGCAAGTTGTAGACATTGGTGCAGCTCATAGAGGAAGCTAGGAGGCAACAAGCTACGTGATGGCTGACCCTGTCTCTAGGCAGTAATACGAGGTAAGATACAGTATCGTATGTCTGAGGCCTGTCTAAGTTCATTTCCTGGCTCTGAGGTTTTCCCAGTCTTCCTGGACAATGGAGCCAGTCATTTTCCCCAAAACTACCACCAAATAAATCAGCTTGTTAACCCTTACAGGAAGGGCTTGACCTGAGGCCTTGCCTCTTCCATCTTTAAGACAGTGTATGCCAGACTTCCTTGAAAAAGTTTTAAAGAAATGCCCTAAGTGGGCATAGGCAACATCCTTCAAGAAAGACAGATTCCTCCAAATCTTGCTGAGTCTCAAATTATGAAAGAGGAAGGACATTTGTTTTTACTCACTGCCAGCCCTTGTAAAACTCTTATATCACAGATCTTTAGGTTGGAGGCTGCCCTTTGGTCACCTGTGCAGTAGTGCTATGCCTTTCTGCTGGGCCTGCCAGACCTGTTGTGGGTTGTGCCCTTGCCTAGCTCTGCATAGAGGTGGTGGTGTGGCAGGACTGCTGGATAGCTGCCTCTTCTCAGGTTAAGTGTCTGAGCAGCAGTGTGGGAAGTTGTGGGCCTAGCAGTATCTCCGTCAAAAAGGAGGAGACATGACAGAGGAGAAAGATGTTTTCTCCCACCTTCCAAGAGGTGGTCACCACAGCTGGTGACTTCTTATCCACTGAGACTCAACGTGGAGAGTCCCAGTCCCAGCCCAGCCTCAGATACCTTTGGCAGTGTCACAGATTCTTCTGGCTGCAGTCCTGTTTGGTGTGCTGCCAGAGAAGTTGTGTAAATGAATTCATGCACATTAGCTAGCTCTTCTCTCAGGTGGGTGTCTCCCTGGATGTTGAAGCTATTGCTATCCCTGAACATACTCTGAGTCTTGCACTGTGTTTCCTGGTAAACCTTGTCTCATAAATTGTGTTCAAGTGCACGATCGATAGTTACCATGTCTGTAGGGAGTTATTTCACTGCTTTGCAGCTGTCACACTTGGTGCATATTCCAGGTGAGACTGATTTCTGTGATACACTAAGGGGGAGAAATGGAATAAATTACAGACTGCTTTGGACTGCCCTTCAGAAAAAAAGTGATGCAGCCTTGCTGGAAAATCACTTTTCTTTCAAAAAGTTCCTGGCTTTCCCAAGCTGTTTATAGTCATGTGGGCTTTGCATGGAACTTGTGGCTACCTTATGCCCTTGTCCATCTTCTGGCAGTCAGAAGATCAAAGACTGCTTCCAGGCTGATGCTTGCAAGACAAGAGTCCCTGTTTATGTCATCTGGTGTTAGGAGTGGTACTGTTAGCATGTCAGAAACCCAGACAGAACTGTGCTTGCCATTCGTAGACCCTTGTCAGAGAGGCGTAAGGGAGTTTGCTGTAATTTTCTATGTGAACATGGTAACGAGGCTTCTGCAGTGTGTGAGGGCTTGCCTAGGAGCACCTACAAAGGTAATTGGTTGAGAAAAAGTAAAATCAGGCAGTAGAGGCTGAGAGCTTAAGTAGCTGAACAGTGGAGTTGGGGAGCTGATTATGAAGGATTCTTGAAATTAAGACAAGTAATCCACAGCTGTTGTCATAGTCAAATACTTCCTGCTTACATCTCTTCCTGTCAAGCAGATAGTAGAACTACTTCTCTCCCTTGGAAAGCCATCAAAACTGAGAAAGAAAGAAGGAAAGAAAAAAAGAAAACATGTTAAAGGTAGTGGAAACCACAAGTCAGGTTGCACTTAGTTCATGTACTGTATTGCTATTTCTGAACTCTGGAATAAGGTTTTTTCCCTAGGCTAAGGAAAAAGGGATAGTACATGCAGAAATTGAATGCCATAAATTTCTCCCTGCTATCTCCTGCAGGATGAATATAAGCCAGAAAAGGCTTTGTCGGAGGAAGATCTGAAGAATGCGGTTAGTGTGCACCATGCACTGGCATCCAAGGCAACAGACTATGAGAAGAAACCCAATGTCCTCAAGCTTAAAACAGCAGATTGGAGAGTCCTGCTTTTCCAAGCCCAGTAAGTGCTCTCCTTGTGCCACTCATTGAGGAAAGAAAGCAGTGCTGAAGGAGGAATAAATTCCTTCCTGGACAGGTTAAAACAGAGGCTTAAGAGGTTCAATCTGTTTATTTGATCAGAAACAAGATTAAGTAGTGATGTGATTAGAGTGCACAAGTAGTGCATGAGAAGGAAACATCAGGTTTTAAGAGGCTTTTTAATCTAGCTGAGAGAGGCATAACAAGATGCAGGAGCTACAAGCTGAAGCTCCAGGAAATTCAATTTGGAAGCAAGGCACAAACTTATAACAGTCAGGATGATTAATCATTGAGGCAAATGACCAAAGGCAGTCTTGGATTGTCTGTCTTCTGATGTCATCAAGTCCTGTCTGGATGTCTTTCTAGAAGATATGCTGTGGTTAGAAACAAAGTTACTACATAATACAAGTGACTTCATAAAGTTTTTCATGCTGTGATATCCAGATATAACAGATGACCTGCCTTTTGCTTCTGAGCCCTGTTCTAAGATCCATATTAAACCTCCTATAGGTCTGTGGTGACCAGCACAACCGAGGCCTTAGGACACATGTCTGAATCAGGTCATTAGTTGGCTCTGTCAGCTGTGTTGCTGGGATTGGATTAGAGAAAGATGTGTGCTAGGATAAGGTATGGACCTAACCACAAGCATCCTGAGTTACTTAGCACTAACTGCTTGCAAACATAGGCAGGAAGATGGAGCAGACTCCTAAGACTTGTCCAGTTTTGGTTATTCTGACTTTTTAAAATACTCTAGAAGGGATGGAAAGAGGTAGACAAGGCTGAGTCAGCAAGTGCTTAATATGTGTTGCACCCTCAGGAGCCAAGAAGAAATGCAGACCTGGATCAACAAGATTAACTGTGTGGCTGCTGTCTTCTCTGCACCACCATTTCCAGCGGCCATTGGCTCTCAGAAGAAGTTCAGTCGCCCACTCCTGCCAGCCACCACAACAAAGCTATCTCAGGTGAGACATTTTTATATAGAGGGTAGGTGATAATGATTTCTCTTTCTGTCCAGACACTGGATGGTGGTCCTTGTCACTGTTTTATAGCTGTTTCCGCTAGCAGTCCTAGGAGGAGAAGGCTTGCATAATAAATCTCTGCTCATTTCCTCATGCAAGATTTGAAGTGGGGGGAGAAAAGGAAAAGACTCAAATACAATTGATATATGTTTTTGAAAAAAATAGTACCAGATAAAGAATTTTCTTCTTGTGCTTGTGTCCCTGCAGAGGACATTTCAGATACTGATTGGTGGGTTTTTTTGAATTTGAGTGTTTATGAAAGCCAGTCATTTCAGAAGAAGTGGACATACTCCTGGTCTTTGGCTTATTGAATTGATAAAAGGTGAAAGCTGATGCATCAGACAAGCATCAATTATATTTCTCCCACTAGATTTTCCAGACTCCATTTATCAGCTCAGGGATATCTTGTATAAAATATATTTATAAACTGTGTCTTACATGAATCTCTTCAGTCTCCCTTGTGATCACACAAGGTTTTAGCATCTGTGGCAAGGAGTTTCACAGCTCTACTGCTTCTTGCACAAATGCACATATTTCTGCTTGTCTCAGACTAGCTGTGTCAGATGCTTGTGCCCATAGCTTTTTGTATTTTGGGAGATGCAATGCCTGCCTGGAATTCCTCCTGCACTGGCAGGAACATGATACCGAGTGTGTTGATCAGATTGACAGAGTGACAGTGGTTATACGTCATGATATCTTCCTGTAGTTTTTAAGGTGATCTGCCCATGCTGGCTTGCTTCTTAAATGCATTTGTTGTTTGGTTTTTTTTTTTTTTCTTTTTTTTTACTGTCTTCATAGCTTAGCAACTATCCTTAGAAACCATTGTCTCAGAATCTGTGTTTCTCTAAGGGTGTGGGTTTTTTTAGGTTGCCTGTGCTTTTTCTCTCTCCATGACAGTAGCCTTTCTTCTTACACTGTGGTGACTGACTTACCATTTTTTGTTCTGGGTTAAAGTTCAAAACGTGTTATGTAAAAAATTGATATTAACTTGTCTCATCCTTTTGGTTTTAGTTTTTGCTCATGCATACCTTTTTAAAAATACAGTATGGTGCTTCCGTAATTTACCCCCAGTCACCAAGGGAAGCTTTTTTACTGATTGTTGTTCTGTATGATTGTTCCATTTACCATGTTGTTTCCTAGTCTTATTGTTTCCATTTATTCTGGAAAGGGAGAAGATAGATCACAACCCTGTGATTTGTATCTTGAAGGAGAGACATGAAAAGTGGAATAAGATTTAGATAAGCAGAAGAATGTTAAGTGTTCAAAATAGATAAATTCAAAGGCAAGCAGAAACATGTCTGCTTTCATCTGTCAGTGTGGAAAAGCTGCCAGCAGGCTGTTTCTCATGAAAAAAAAAAAAAACCAACCAAATTTGTCAGATGCCTGTGGTTGATGTTTAGGATTTTATGGAATGAGTCATGATGGACACTACTTCTTCAAAGGGTCTGTTCCTGGTCAGCCAGAAGTCGAGGTGCAGTGAGGACCTAGCATAGGTAAGAAAGAGAGGCTGGACATGATGACAGGTTGTGCAAGATCATTGTACTAGATTTTCTTTCAAAAGGAGAGCAGTGTATGATCTTGGTTAGTCCAACCAAGGAGGGATGTGACAAAGCTATATATAAAGGAACAACCAGTCTAGAAAATACGTACTAGGGTGTTAGGTGTTTTTTGGTGGGTTTTTTTTGTTTTTTGGTGGGTTTTTTTGTTTGTTTGTTTGTGGGTTTGTTTTTTTTTGTTTTGTTTTGTTTTGTTTTTTTGGTGGGGTTTTTTTTGGTGGTTTTTTTTTTTTTTTTTGTGAGAATGCACAGCACACACAAAAGCTCCAAAGATGGTGCCCTGGAAATTACAAGTGCTGTATTAATAGCTGCTCAAAGACCTCCTGTCATCAGGCTGTAGAACTCATTACCACAGGATGTTCTTGGGACCTGTGGAATCAGCACAATGTAAAGAGTGATTGGGCACTAATGAGAGAGCAAGCACATTTAGGGTAGTAACTAACAGCAGCAAGAATTTTTTGGCAATCAGTAGCAAGTGGTTTCAGCCCTACCATGTTTAGGCAGAGGCAGATTATCCCATGTGTTTCTGTCTTCAGTGCTCTTGCAAAGAATTGAAACACAAGATTAGCTGGGTCTTACCTATCATCATCTGTCGAAATTTTCCCCCTTTCTGCTGTTTTCCACAGCTCCAGCTCAGCGAGCCAAGAGGCTCAGTCCCCAATGTGACTCAGTGCAGTGCAGGCATATCTGAGCTAGTTTTGAAGCTGTGGGCTTCATCTGAGCTGTGGGTTGCGCTCAAACCACACCACGGAGGGACAGCACTGGCAGCTGTTCCTTCCTCTGAGGCGAGGTACCTACACAAGGAGCTGAACTGGGTACTACCTCTTGGCTCATTCACCAGTGTCTGCATGATCATGTGTCTATTTTGGACTTACCTGATTCAAACATAATTTCAGATCCAAGCCTAGAAATGGACAGAAGGCCATCCTGCAGGAGATGGAAACCTTCTGAGATGAGGGAAGGTTTAGCTGACAGATGGACTGGAGGAAGTGAGTGGGCCTGGGTTTATGATAAAGGAAATTGCCTAGAAAGTGGGAGTAGCAGCTCCTCACTTTTTCCAACTGCACAGTGGGATAAAAACTGGTAGCATCTTAGCAAGATGAGATTACTTTTTGGGGAATGGACAGTCCTTTCTCTTCTGAATGCATTGTATTGTTCTAAACAAATAGAAACCACACACCAGAGAGCTTTTGGCAGTGCAGAAATAGAAGGAAGGGCCCTGACTCCATGTCTTGTCTATCCTGGAAGGAACTCCTTTTACATTGCAATAACCTCAGGCAGAGTTTTCACCTGTCTCATTCTGCCCTTGCTTTATCTGCAAGACAACAGTCTCAATTAATTTACAAAAAAAATGTGTTAGAACAATGTGTCATGTTGTCAGTATTGCTCGGCAGCAAGCTGCTTCTGTTGCTCACAGCAAGGCAATGGATGACAAGTTTGCTCTCCATCCCAGCGGCATCTGCTAGCTGCTGAGTTTTTCTGCAAGCTTGGCCACTTTGAGTGCCTTTGAGAGAGCTGTTGGTGGCAGTGCTTCGGGATGACAGACTTTTATCAATCCAAGAAAAAGAAACTATGAGGTATTATTGTACAGGAACCTCTGTATTTTTCTTTGCCTATTGGATATTTTGGATTCTGTCACTTAAGTGCCTAATGTGTTTCTGAAGGATGAACAGCTGAAGTCCCATGAAGCTAAACTGAAGCAGATCTCAACTGAGCTTGCTGAACATCGCTCCTATCCTCCTGACAAGAAGCTCAAAGGCAAGGAAGTAGATGATTACAAACTGAAGGACCACTATCTGGAGTTTGAGGTATATATGGGAAACATTATTACTTTTACTTCTTGGTTGTGGGTGGTCTTATATTTGGGTCACAGTCTGGAAGTTCTTAATTTTTCACTTTACTTCCCTAGGAAGTGTGTTCTTGCTAGGCAGAAAAGTCACAGCAATTGCAGATGCTGGGATGTGGCTCTTCTTTCTGGTGAGAACTTCCTTAGTGAATTTTGCTCCCAGTCTGTAACATGGAGGATAGAAACAAGACTCCTGTCCTTCCTGATGTACCTTTTTAAAAAAATTGTAAGATCTTTGTGCACGAAGTGTCTCGTGTTGTAAAACTGTGCTGCCTAGTGTATTGGAACCTCAGTCTCTAAAGAATGACTGCATTCTGCAGGAATGCAGATCATGGTAATTGTCTTCCCTTGGTAGGTTCTGAAGGAACTGATATGCTGAAGTTATTGTCATAGGTATGCCTCCCTCATCAGAGCCACTTGTGTTGTATACCACTGAAATGGATGTCAGGATGAGAAGGAAAATGGTAGAATTAAAGATCACAGGGTTGAGTGATGCAACTTAGGCAGATGCATTAGGAGATTGTTTTGAGTATCTGACAGCAGCTTTTATCTATAATGGTGTCTGCCACATTTTAGGACTATGTGGGAATGAATCTGCAACCCAGCAGATGTCTGCCATTTGTTATGACTACACCTTTGAGCTTTTTCCCCCAGGACTGCGAGTCAATGTTGCCTTGGGTCTGAAAGGATCCTACTCTAAATAGGCACTGCCTGGCAAGGAAAATACGTAGTCTGAGAAAGAGGAAGAGCAGATAAGACAGATGAGACAACCAGAGCTGATGCTGGAGGCAACACAGCACAAGCCTCCAGAACTGAAGTAAGCCTTCTGCCCTGTGCTATCAGTTTCTGTTAGAGAGACTTTTTTTAGTCCTGGACTTAAATCATTGCATACTTTTGCTTTTGAAGAAGGTTGACTACTGTGTAACCACTGTGTTGAGTTTGACTTTGCTGTAGCAATGTCCATCAGTATGGCTTTATGAAGGAGGAATCGTAAGCTGACCAACATGATAGTCTTCTATGATGTGATGTTTGGTTTGATGGACAAGGGGACAGCAGTGGATGTTGTTTGTTCTTTACTTTGACAAGAATTCTGATATTGTCACCTCTAACGACCTTGTAGTCAAGCTGATGAAGTAGATTAGGAAGTCGACAGTGAGGTGAACAGTCGAGATCAAAGGGTTGTGATCAATGGCACAGTGTCAGTTAATTTTGAACAGTGCACTCAGATGTACAGGGTAAGCCACACACTTTATCTCTGGAGGGGATCTTGTAAAACTTGGAAGATCAAGCATTTTCTTAGCTTTGGGTTCTTGACACAAAGTTTATTTTCTGTCACTTTTAGAAGCTTGGTGAGTTAGGATGAAATGTAGGCTGGAGTGTTAAACGTTTATAGAAAGATGGATGAGGGAGTAGATTGTTGCAGGGATTTTTTCTGTTTCCTGTGAATTTTATCAGGGATAAAATTTATATCCTTTATCTTCTGAGATATTCCTCAGGTACCTCAGTACAAATCAGAACCAGTATAGCCCAGAAAACAAAAGGTATCCTCTTCGCTAGTGAGAGTCTCAAACAGCATTTGAGCTGTGCAGTTCAGATAAGTGATCAGCTCTGCATGAGTGCCCATCTAAGCAGGAAAGTTGTGGCAACAGCTTCAGTTACTTAGGAGAAATGGTAATTCGGGGTGCTGGTTTCGCTGTGCTGTGTTACCTTCACAAGAAACACAGATTTCACAGGCCATGTTGAACTATCAAGACGCCATTCCAAGGGTCATGAGAGCAGGCAATTCCAAAATGCTGGAAGTCAAACAGATGAGGCAGAAGGGTAACTGGGATCTTCTGAAGCTAAGGCAAAAAAGTAAGGTTTATGCTGAGTGGAAGCAAGGTCAGGTGGCATGAGAAGAATACAGAGAGTGATGCTGCTCACCATTGTAACAAGAAAATTCACGTGGCCAAATCTTAATTGGAGTTGCATTTGGCCAGAGCTATGGGGGATAAAAAGAGTGTTTTAAAAAGAGTGTCAATAAAAGCAGTGTTTTTAAATATATTAATGGCAAAGGGCAGGGTAGAAATAACATCAGCATCTTACAGGATTAGTACATTCATCTCACAAACAGGGACATGGACAAGGCAGAGGTGTTTAAAAAAATGCCGTCTTTGCCTCTGTCTTCAATATGGCTGGCAGACCAGGGGGTTCTCAGTGCCCTGACATGGAGGACCATGTCTGTGAGAATGCTCCCATTTAACCTTGAAGGTGTGTGGGATCAGCTGTTCCAGCTGGATCCCTGCAAATATATGGGGTCTAATGAGATTCATTCAGGAAACATCAAACAGTTTTCTGATGTTTTCACAAAGCTTTTCTCGATGATATTTGAGCAGTTTGGATAGATCCCAGTTGGCTGGAAACTGTCTAATGTTTTCCCAGTTTTCAAGAAGGGCAAAAAGAATGACACTGGAAACTACAGGTCTGCCATTCTCACTTCAGTGCCTGGTAAAATTGAGAAAATTATTCCAGGAAGTACTGGAAAACACCTGGAGGACACTGGAACCATCATCACAGCCAGCACAGCTTCATGAGAGAAAAGTCAGGGTTGTCCAACCTGGTTTTCTTTTATGACAGGATAACCTACTTAGTTGATCAACAGAAGCCAGTTAATGCAATCTTTTTTTGATTTCCTAAAGATTTTGATACTGTCTCTCTCAGGACCCTTCTGGAGAAAATGTCCAGCCCACAGCTGGATAAACACATCATGTGGTGGGTGAGCAGCTGGCTCATGGGTCAGGCACAAAGGGCTACAGTGAATGGGGTGACATCAGACTGATGTGACCTGTCACTAGTGGGGTTCCACTGGGCTCCATCCTTGGCCCTGTGCTCTTCAACATCTTCATAAATGACTTGGACACAGGACTGGAAGGGACACTGAGCAAGTTTGCAAATGATACAGAACTGGGAGAAGCTGCTGACTGCCTTGAAGGCAAGGAGGCCCCCCGAAGAGACCTTGACAAATTACAGGGCTGGGCAATCACCACCTGTATGAAGTTCAACAAGTGAAAGTGCTGGATTCTGCATCTGGGATGGGACAACCCTTAGTGTATGGAATGAGAAAATGGAGAGCAGTGCCATGGAAAGGAGCCTGTTCAAGGGCAAGCTGAACATGAGTGAGCAGTGCCCTTGCAGCCAGCTCTGTCCTGGGCTGCATCAGGCGCAGCATCAGCAGCCAGGCAAGAGAGAGGATTGTCCCATTCTGCTCTGCACTGGGGCTGCCTTGCCTGGAGTGCTGGGGGCAGTTTTGGGCCCCTCAGTATTAGAAAGATCAGAGCCTCCAAAGGAGGGCAGTGAAGATTATGAAGGGCCTTAAGGGGAAGCCGTACGAGGAGTAGCTGTGGTCTCTTGGTTCAGCCTGGAGGAGAGGGACTGAGGAGAGACCTCCTTGCAGTCAACAACTTTCATGTGAGGGGAAGAGGATGGACTGGCACTGATCTGTCTGTGATGACATGTGGGAATGGCCTGAAGTTGTGTCAGGGGAGGTTTAGGCTGGACATTGGAGGGAGATTCTTCTTCACCCAGAGGGTGGCTGGGCGCTAGAACAGGCTCACCGGGGAAGTTATCACAGCAGTGTGAGAAAAGCTGTGCAAACATGCAGCTGCAGAAGGCTGACTAGAGGCTAGGGTGCTGGGAACACTAGTTTCCTGACAGTGTGGGGCATGTTGGTACTGGTACTTAGCAGCAGGTAGTACAGTAAATAGTCACTGTTGCTTATTGTTACTGCATTGACCCTGGACACTTTGTGAGTGTGAAGGAATGAAACCTGGAAACCTCTGGCAATGCTGAGATGATGGCATTGGAATAATTTGTTTGCTTCCTTCCAAGCAGAGAACCTTCTCCTGAGTTTGCAGGCTGGAAGACATCCAAACCCATGCTGTCTCTGCAGTCAGGAAGATTAGGGATTACCCAGTTGGAATGGCTATCTGGGCTTCACATTTTTTTGCAGAGAAGGCTGCTGTAGATGTCAGCCATTAGCATTATATATTAATTATATATATTAAAGACAAAGGGCCTCTGTGTAGTTTTTAACTATACGCTCTCACTTAGCTGCTATATAGAGCCTTATGATATATTGTGTCCTGTCGCTTCCCCTTCCAGGATTTTCCTTGTTGGTGTGCACAGAGAGCTGCTTTCAATTCCTCTCATAGTGACAAAGCACTTTGCCTTTCTTCTTCAGAACGGGATTCTCCTCAGTTCTCCATTTTCCTTCTTTAGCTCACATATAGGTGGAAGAGGCTGATGCCTCCTCACAGTTCCTGCATATATCCTGTGCCAGGCTTTCCAAGGGGAGCACAGGTCTAGGAGAGACCACCATGGGTAGGTCTTTCCATACCTGAAAGGCCCCTCTTTGTGCCATAGGCCCTTGGGGTAGCCAGCAGTTTTCAGGCACAGAGAGCAGAAAGATGACGTAGAAATATTTTTCCTACTTCCCAGCCCCTCTTTTCTGAGCAGTGTCATGGCTCTGCAGAGAGTGCTGGCTCTCCTGTTACCTAACCTGTTACCTGAGTTTTCATGCTGGCCCACAGGGTGAGCTTGGATAGGTGTCTCCCATTTTGTACCACCCTTTCTCTATATGAAGTAGTACTACCAAACTGGCCTTTCCCACAGAGCGCCTTGGGAGGTAATGTTGAGGGCCAGTTGAAAATTGCTCCTTGCTGTTTATTCTGTTGTGCCTGGCACAGGACAGCCTTCTTGTTGAATTCAATTCTTGATGCATATAGAAACATCAAGATCAATGCAAGGACTGTTTAGAAATCCACTGGTGTTTTCAGCCCAAGTAGCATCAAAAAAATTGCTACCTGAGTGGATGTGTATTCTGTCAGGCTTCCCAAGGGTCCAAGTCAATTAATCTAGTTTTATTGAGCTGCCAGTCCAGTGGGCAGAACTATGAGTGATCAAAGAGAAAAGGCCTTTAGCAGGCACTGCATGATTTGCCTTCCCTACGAAATACCACCGTGCCACAGCTTTCCTTTTGTTGTGCTGACTGTTGGCTGTGACAATGATGTTGCACTCTCAGATGTGAGGTTTTGGGGCAAATTGATACTTGCAGCTGCAGCCTGACAGCAAAGCCAGATGAGACTGTTCTCACAAGTGATGTTGGGATGGTCATCAATCTGGCATCTGCCACAGTTGGGGAATGCTGAATACACTTTTGGGAAGAAAATTTGACCTCCCTTTTATGATTAAGGAGTGGTATTTAGTGTTCCCACTGAGCCTGTCCAAACTACATGGCCCTGGGTCACTCCCTCCTTCCCCTCCCCATCCTTGCAGTGGGCTGGAGAGAATTTGAGGCATAAAAGGCAAAAATCACAGGTTGAGATAACAATTTACTGGAAATGGCAATGAGACAAGAAGTGAATGGTAAACAACAACAGTATTAATAACAGAGTGTTCAAGAATGCTCACCACGCAGAATCCAATACCCAACCATTTGCCTCCGAATACCCCAACCCAGAAGGGACATCTTCTCCTGTTCCTGGAAAATGACATGAGGTGGTATAGAATAACCTTCAAGTCCAAGCCATGCTCCTGCCGGGCTACTGCATAAATTAGTCCTGGCCAGAACCAATACGTCATTCTGTGAATTATTTTATATAACTATAGGATACATGCAGCAGAAACAAAACCCAAAAAAGGTGCAGATCTATAAATGGCCCTGCTTGGCTGTCATGGTTGGGTTGAATAGATGATCTTTTTGAAGGCAGGCTAGAACATGCTTGGCAAACCTCTTCTGTTTATGGAGTGCAGTGCTTCAAAAGGCGAAGAGGTGACATTTAACTTTCTTCTTCCCTGGCTTTAAACGTGTTTTGGTTGCTGAAAATTCCAGTTAAATTGCTGAGCTCAAAAAGAAATTACTCTTGTTAAATGCATTTTGTAGCTTTGACACAGAAACTGGGTAATTCCTCTTCAAAGTCATTGCAGAAAAGATGATTTGAAACAATAGGAAAAATCATAAAGTGAACTGCAAAAAATATGGGTTTTTTTTCATTATTTATTATCTATTTCCATGTATACTTGTAAACAGATAGGGTATTTTTTTTAGGTCTCATCTGAGTGTATCAAATGAAGTTTTTCACTGCATTTTTTAGTCATTAAACATTTGTTGAGCTTAGAGCAGTCTTGCTGAAACTGCTGAGGCGTGCAGATCAGTTTACCCAGAATTTATAGTATCTGCTCCAGTTTTAATTAATGCCATTTTCCTTTGTTGCTTTACAATCTGTAAGCATTCCAGGCACCTGTGTAGAAATGCACGCTTTGGAGAACAAGAAAAAAATGTGATCCTCTTGTGAAAGTCTAAGACTTCTGCCTTCCCTTGGGAATAGGTTCATCTACCCATCAGTACTGTAATTAGTTTTTTTCCCTCCTGATGATACCATAAAGGATAGGGCAGGTTCTCAGGTGGTCTTAAGTAGTGCATCTCCTTGAATAGCACCATTAAGAGTCTGACCAGGTAACTTTGCATGGTACCCTGCACCCTGCCTTTCTTTGCTGAAATGTTTGCCTTTGGGGAAGATCAGTGCTTGATTGCAGGGACTCAGTAGCTCTGGATGCAGTATGTAAGGATATTCTACTGGTTTCCAGCCTGCCTTTGGGACTTGAGCTGCAAATCACTGGAGCAGCCTGCAGTTTCCTGGGTGTACTCAGTGTAAGGAGTTACTGGCTGGCCGTCATGAGCATGTGTGCTTGTGGGAGAGCCTTTGCATTGGTGGCGCAGGGAGGTGTCATCCTTCCTTGTCACCCTTCCTGCTCCAGTGTGCTATCATTGCTCAGGCGAGGCCTCTGCCTGCATGTAGAGAGTGGGGATGTAAAGAGGGGGAGCAGGCTAAGGCTAACACCTCCTTACTCTCCCTTTCTTAAGGTGCAGACAGTGGTTCTGGGGGCACCCGCCCAGCTCTGAAGCGTTGCTGGCTCCAGAGACTGAACCGTTTGCTATCGCCAGCAGGGGAGGAGAGACAGAAAAGGGCCCCACTAGTCTGCACCTGACAGCAGAGTGCCTATGGAGAAGGGGAGAACTGCCTTCCCCTCTCTCCACCCAGCGACCAAAGTGGGTGAAATACTCTTTTGAAGACAAAACCATACTCTCCTCTATAATTCAGCAGGATGCAGGGGACTGTTTGAGATGGATTTTGTTCATCAGCGGCTGCAAAAGAGACTCCCTGGACTAGCTGTGTGTTTGTCGTGTTTGTCTGCATCTTGCAGATAAATTACGTATGAACCAGTGAACATGACTACAGCTTCTAAATCCAGTATTTATGTTGTGTCTTCAGTTGATGTAGAGAGATAAGTCAGCCAGCAGAGTGATTAACACAGCAGAGTTGTGTGGGAATGCTGTTCAGCTGTGTTGCCAACTCAGAGTTTCATCTGTAGCCAGACACTTGTAAATGGTTACTAGAAACTTTCTAATGATTAGTAACAGCTCGTCACTAAAATACTTTCCCTCTGATCCTGCCTGCTCTCAGGTTGCAGTCTGTCTATATTAAGGGACTCTCATGGAGAGCTGTGCTCTGCACAGTCCTGCTTTGAGGAGGAGTTTGGCATAACAGACCTCCAGGGTCTGGAATTGTTCAGTGACTTTTGACAGCTCCAATGCCATCGGATAACAAGGCTGGTTGTTCTTCTGGCTTGAAAAAGCAGAAACTTCTACCTTTCTCCAATGGGAAAATGAGGTTCTTGCTTGACTGGAGTAGGCCATTCTGTGAAGATGTGGTTATGGCAGTGGAAGAAGTGAGATATGACAGGATTATCATCAGGCTTCTTGGAGGTATTGTATGGCAATGTTCTCCTTGAAAGTGGGGAAGGCTTTTCTCTGCAGATGGCTTACTGCTTACTTTGTCTGCATTCTCCATTTTTAAATTAATTTTGGTCTTATTGCAGTTAGTCTGACAGCTCCTCCTCCTTTTTTGACAAGCTACTCTTGTCTGTCATCTTAGCACCTCAGCTGCTTCTGTATAACAGGTCTGTTTCTTTCCATGCTTGCAGAAATCCAGAAAAATTGACTCTCCCATCTTGCATCAAGAAAACCTGCTCTGAAGCAGTGCTGCATTGAATGGGTAACCCTGTGAACAGCTTTTTCACTCTGCTTGTCAGTAGCCTGTGTTTCCAGCCACAGTTATAGCTGGGAGGTGCGAGACCGAGTTTTAGACTGCCGTGATTCTCTAGTTGTATGCTGCAGGGATGCTGAGTCCCCCTTCCCACACTTAGGCCAGATACTTGCAACATTCCTACTCTTCTAGTATCCAGGTTGTTGGAAACACTGGCTACTTCTTAAGGGTCAAAGGCAGTATACACATCTTATGCCAAGAAATCTTGCAGCTTGCTGCTTGTTTAATTTTCTCCAGTATTGCTCTCCCCAGGCTCTGGGACATCACATCTGCTCTGAGGGGGCAGCTAAGAAGTCCACATTCCTCATCAGAGCACAATCATTGCTCCCCATCATGTGTTCTCAGCATCTGTTATCTAGGCTTCTTAGAGGGATGAACCACAGAAGCTGTTTCAGAAAAAGCTAGTCTGCAGCTTGTGCTTTTTAAAGGATATTT